ACCACTACTACTACTACTACTACTACTACTACGACTACTACTACTACTACTACTACTACTACTACTACTACTACTACTACTACTACTACTACTACTACTACTACTAATGCTACCACCACTACTACTACTACTAAACCGGCCGCCGCCACGGCCACTACGAGCACCACTACCACCACGACCCCCGCTACTACCACAACTATCACTACCACCACCACCGCCACGACGACCACCGCCGCCACCACAGCCACCACCACGACTACCGCTCCTACCGCGACTTCTGCTGCCACTTCCACTGCCACAGCTAGCACTACCACTGCCGCTGCGACCGCCACCGCCACCACTACCACCACGACCGCCACCGCCGCTACTACTACTGCCTCGACCGCTACCGCCGCCACAGCCACTACTTGCGCTACTACCACCACGGCCGCTGCTACTACTATACCATCGCCGCTGCCACTACTACAACTACAAACACCACTACCACGACCGCCGCAGCTACTCCTACTACTACTCCACTGCAGCCACCACAGCCACAACTATGCGAGCAATTTTTCCCGCGCCCGCAGTTCGATTGCCCTGGGGGGCATGTTTGTTGCACCCCAACTTGCCAGGGGGGGGGGGGGGAGATTTGGGGCGTCTGGGGCCTGCGCCCCCGCAGCCTCCAGAAGCTTTCCAGGAGGCCATTCATTGATGGCGCCAGGGCGCGTGAGACCTCAAGGCCCTTGGCTCCTGGCTACAGCAAGCACGGGCACAGCAGGTGCAGGCGCCCCCCCCCTCCCCCCCGCCTGCCTGAGGCAACGTAGTGAAATGGGAAAGGGCAATAAAATGAGGCAAGCAGCAGATGCCCCCCTTTCTCCAAAACTGATTGTATTGTAGTGAAATGGGGCAGACCTTCTCCCACAATCTGACTAATATGGTTCAATTCCTGGTGGTGCCTTTGGGGCCTGCCTGGGGGCGCAGGACGGTTTCCAGCGAGCTGCGGATTGCCCATGCACCTCCCGCCCCCTGGGGACAACTGGAGCTTCGTGGGGGCTGGGCTGGCTCTGGTGGGGCGGGGCCTGCGGGGGCTGGGCGCGGCCCTGAGGCAGCTGCGGGGCCACGCATCTGGAAGCGGAAGCAGAGGCAACGCAAACAAAACAACGACAAAAAACCATCGAACAGCCGGGCTTGTAAGACCACGCCCGGCTCCTCTTTCCACCCACCCGAGCCTCACCAAGGGTCCGCCAGCCTGAGACTGACCCTCCGCGAGTCCTTGGCCGCCGCCAGGCGGCCCGATGCCTCTCTCTTGGACAGCTCGAAGCCCTTGCCGAGGTCGAGCATCCTCTGCGTGACCGTTAAGCTCCGCCAGAACCCCGGTGCTGTCTACGCGGCGGCCCATGTCGAAGCCCTCGAACTTCTCGTTCGTCAGCGCGTCGGCCTCGACGTTGATGTCCCGGCGGCGCCACGCCAGGTCGAGGTCCAAGTCCGCCTCCGCGAGGCGGGAGCCCAGCTCCATGGCCACCGCGCACAGCGGCCACATGGTCGTCAGCCACTTCCTGACAAGGCCCGAATTCCCCTGGCTATCCGTCCCGGCCGAGAATGAGATCCTCCCGCGCCCGCCTGCCATCGCCTGCGCGGGGTCGAGCAGGAAGACAACGCCGTACACCGCCGCCATCAGCTCAAGGCTCGCGACGACCCTGAACGGGTCGCCTCTCTCGTGGGCCCAGGGGATGTCCTCTTTCCCCAGGACATGTGAGAACCACCTCGCCTTGCCAGGATCGGGCGACGGGCCCGTCGCCCAGCCGCCCAGCACGATGAAGTCGCCATCGGCCGTCGCGTCGATCCTGGAGATCTCGCTCCTGTCGCGCAGCGTCGGCACGAACGAGCGCATGCCGCGCCTCTCGATCAGCTCGACGGCCCACTTCAGTGAGAGCCTGACCGCGACGGGCGTCGGGAGACACGCGCCCCTCGGGCATGACGCGCACCGCGCGAAGGCAAGGCCGAGGAACGGCCTGAGATGAAACAGCGGGCCCGCCGCGAACACCAAGCGCCCCGGGCCCTCGCGGAGGTGCGCCACCAGCATCGCCGCTGAATCCCCCCTCCTGGCACCAGCGAGCGGCCCATGCCCGACGGCGCTCGGAGACGCCCAGCAGGTACTCCCTGATGTGCACGCGGCAGCCTACCCAGTCGATCTCGATGCCGCCCCGGAGCTTCTTCGGCGCCAAGGGGGCCCCCAGGGTGACCAGGATCGGAAGCGCCGCCAGGAGCTTCCTCTCGAAGCCCGCGCCGACGGCCATCAAGAGCCCGTCGTCCGCCTCAGACCAAGTGGAAGAGGGCGAAGGGCGGGGGGCCGAAGTAACGGGCGACCCTGGTGATCAGACCGAAGACGCTGGCCCAGTCCCCGGCGCTCGTGACCCCGAAGGTGCTAACCATGTTCACGTGGATCTCCTTGTCGTCGTCGCTGAGCCCTGGGGCGCTGGCTGCGGGCGAACAGCATGCCTGCCAGCCCCAGTCCTCCTCGCGGACTGGTATCTGCCTGTGGGCCTTGGCGATGTCGTACAGGAGAGCGAACCGCACCGGCTCCCCGAGGGCGTGGATGGCCTCCAGTAGAGCGGCGATGTCCTGCCAGACTGGCAACCTGACCTGGTCCCTGATCTTGATCTGGTGATTGACCAGCACGTGGTGCGTGGCATCGAAGACCACCCGCCACTCGCCGAGGCCCGCCGCCTTCTGGACCGCTCCAAAGGCTGCTACTCGCAGGCGCTCTGGCCAGCGCCTCTTCGCCTCCCTCATCGTGATCCTTATAATCCTGCCCGCAGCGACCTCCTCCTCCAGGTACTTGATGATCACCTCGGGGCGTTCCTTGACCGAAGCGTAGTTGTCGGCCCACCGATAGCCCGATACAAACACCTCCTCCTTCACGTCGGGCAGCGCCCACTTCGCCTTGCGCTCGCACACCGCTGGCGTCCGCGGGAGAGGGGCGTCAACCCCCAGTGGAACGCCCGCCGCCGCCCAGCCTGCCACCTGGTGGTCCGGGTCCCCGAAGGCCTTGGCGACCGCCTCCAGCAGCCTGAAAGGAGATGGGCGCCTTCCCATCCCCGGCTCTCGGACTGGGGTCGAAACCCGCGCGGCCTAGCCTCACGTGCCACAGTGCCTTCAGCTTCGCCACGACCACCGCTGGGAAGATGCCGCCGTCGAACAGTCCCGAAGCCCTCTCCAGAAGGCATGCGCGCAGAGGGGGGCGGGCTCGTCCCCGCCGCTGCTGCTCTGCCGCCGCGATGCCCTCCAGGTCCGTCGTGGCCCTGTCCAGCGCCTCGCGCCGCTCCGACGCGATGCTCGAGGCGGGGGGGCGCCTGGCCGCCAAAGCCCAGCGTCCTGGGGAGCATTGGCCTGGTCCGTCCCCTACGCCTCGCGCCCCGCGCCTACCCGCTGCCCTCAGCGGGTCGCCCTGGTCAATCCACCCGTCGCCTGTCTTCCCAGGCTGGCCCGGCTTACCCTCGTCCAAGGCCTCCCCCGAGAGCTTGCCGTAGGCCTCGACAATGGCATCGCCGTGGCACCGTTCCTGAGGCCGGCAGTGGCAGACGAGGCGCTTGCCGCGCAGGTCCGACAGGAGCGCGCGCAGCGGTGCCGCCGATTTCAAGTGAGAGGCGTAGGCGTCCACGACCACATCCTCGGTGAGGCTCTCCGAGATCCTCCGCGGGCTGTGCCGCGCTGACCTCTCGGGGCCCGCGCGCGCAACCCCCGCCGATGTAGACGTCGCCGGTCCCGAGGGGGCCTGCGCCAAGCGCTGCCCACCTAGGCGGGGGGCCCCCGCCGACCAGTGCCCCAGCCCGCAGGGGGTCGAGGAGGACCAGGCATTCGTCCTTGATGGCTTGGGCGATCCACTGGTTCATCGGGATGGGATACGCGGCCGCGCGCGCGAGCTCGGCCTTGCGCTTGCCGTCAGCGGAGACCAGCGGGCGCGCGCATGCAGGCGGCGGGCCCAAGGGGCCGCGGTAGTGACCCTCGCTGTCCAGATCTGGCCAGCCCACCGCGCGGCCTGCGGCCAACGCGCCCATGTCCGTGAGGATCCGCATCGGCTTCGAGTACTCCACGTCGAACTCGGCCCGGTGGAACGCGAAGGTCAGGAAGCCTGCGCCCGGCCGCGCGATGCAGCGGAACTGAGGCAGCTGCCACAGGCTGGCCGGCTTCCCCCCCCCCCGCGATCTTGCCGAAGCGGCCCGTGGCCCTGCGCGCCCCCAGGTCCTCTGGGAACTCCATGAGGCCGCGGGCGCGGCGTCCGCCGCCTGCCGCCGACCTGGCAAAAATAACGGCCTCCAGGATTTGCGCCTCCAGGAACAAGCCCAGGACGTTGGCGTTCTGCACCTTCAGCTTCGCAGCGCCCTCCAGCCACGGGAAACCGAGAGGCGGCCCCTGCCTGTTGGCGAACATGGACCTCGAGAAGGTGCCACAGGGAGGCGCGGTGATCACGACGTCGACGAGCCCGCCACTGACGTCCTGGAGGTAGCGCAGCCTCGCGTCCGAGTCCAATAGATCGCGCGATGCGTCGTTCAGCGCGTCCACCTCGACGACCTCCACCGCGGCGCCGGCTGTCTGAAGGTCAGCGGCCAACGCCTCCAGCAGGCACTCCTTGATGCTGGGCTTCGGGAGAGACCTGAGAAGAGGTGCAGGGCCCGCAGGACCTTGCGCGCGGCGTGCGCTGGCTGCCCACCGCCACGGGGCGCCCGCGCCTGTGCGTCCTCGCGGCCGCCCTTCATGACCAACAGCTCCCCGTGGTGGGGAGGGGCCTTGAACGGCATGATGGGGCACTTCATGAGGCATTGCGCCTGCCGCCCCCAGCGCGCGGGCTGCGTCGGGCGACGAAGCGACCTGGCCTGACGCGGGCGACCGTCAACCGCTGGTGTCGCCCAGGGTGGGCAGCGCAGGCGGCGCGGCCGCGCTGCCGCCCCCCGCCGTCTGCTACTGCCACTGGCGTCACGAAGTGGCGGCCCCTCAGCGACGCGTCGTTCATGGCGTCCTTCAGCGCCACGCCGAACGGCTTGCCAAAGTTGATCAGCCTCGCATGCCCCTCGCGCATCTACCAGTCTTAGGCCAGGGCCTGCGCCCCCAGCTCGGCTTGCTGATGACATTGCCCTGAGTCCTTCGAGACTAGGCCCCTCGCGTGGTCCCCCAGCAAGTGTTTTACGTAGTCCGTGAAGAGCGCGACAGTGGCGCTCTGGAAGGCCACGCGTCCTGGGCGGCGCAGCCTAGCGTAGACGTGCGGGAAGGCCAGGGTGCGCATCCTCTTGCGGAACGCCTCGGGGTCGTGCGGCGTGCCGACCTCCGTTCTGCCACAACGCCAGCGCATGGTCCCCGACACAGCCACCACTGCCCCCATCTTCGTGTCGTCGCCGTCCTCGAAGCTGACCGCCTGCGTCAAGGGGATCGCCTCCATGTTCGACTCCTCGATCATCTCCATCACCTGCTTCACCAGGGCTGCTCCCGGCGCGATGCAGTCCTCGAGCGCGCCGTCCGCCCTGCGCATGGAGAGGTGTGTCGCCTTGCCAATCAGTTTGGGCAGCCTCGCGCTCTTGGCCTCAGCCTCCTGTTTGCGCTCCTCCTCGGCCCTGCGGCAGGCCGTCTCCCAGGCGTCGATCACCTTCACGATGGCCAGGCGGTTATTCGGGCCTGCTGGAGGCGGCGCCGTTGTGTCCAGGCCGAAGTCTCTCGCCAGGAGGGCCCGCACCCGCGCGCGGTCGTCGTCCAGGAGCGCGAAGCGGTTCACCGTGGTGTAGCCCCAGCGCGCCATGGCGTCCTGCAGCTCCTCTGACACCTCCTTCTCTTCCAGCAGAAAGCGCAGATCAGCCGCCAACTGATCGCGGCCGCCCGCCATTGCCCCTCGCCCTGGCCCTCCAGGGCCGCGACTTGGTTCGGTGGCCCGAGCGGAGCTCCCAACTGGCTCAAGCCCGCGCGAGGGAGGGAGCGGGATGCTGGAAGACCAATGCGAGCGGGGATCAGAAGGAAGAGCGAGATGAGCCGAGTACGGGCGAGAACCCCTGAGTTTTTCATAGCTTTTCCCTCGCCTCTTCTGCACAAGATATCCGACCTCGGCGCCAGCCGAGCCGAAGGCGCGGCTCCGACCAGGAGCCAGCGAGCCGGTGACCCAGAATCAACCAGGCCTGCCTTGGGGAGCGCGTGGCTGTCCAGAAAAGCCAGCAGAGGCTAGCCCAGAAAGGCGTTCAACGCGTGAAAACACGGGGAAACCCGCCCCCGCAGGGATTTTTTGAGTTAGCGAGCGCCAAACTCCCAAATTCCCCCGCGGCGGCCCCACGCGCGCTTCCCATGGGAAACGCCCCAAAGCGGGGGGAGAGCCCGAGACCTCGCCACGCGGATCCCAGGGGGGCGGCCTGAGCCCAAACAGTTGCGGAGGCGGCGAGGTCCCTCCCCCCTGCTGCCTGCGGCGGCGGGGGGGAGGGGGGAGGAGGGGGGAGGAAGGGAAGGAGGAAAGGAGGGAGGGAGGGAGGGGGGGACGGACGGACGGACGGACGGACAGACGGACGGACGGACGGAGGAGGAGGAGAAAGAGGAGGAGGAGGAGGAGGAGGAGGAGGACGAGCCGAGAAGGAGGAGGAGGAGGAGGAGGAGGAGGAGGAGGAGGAGGAGGAGGAGGAGAAGGGGGAGGCCACGCACCAGAGGCCACGACCGCTCGGAAAAAAAACCTCCTCCCTCCTCCCTCCTCCTCCCTCCCTCCTCCCTCCTCCCTCCTCCCTGCGCTTCAGATGCCACGATCTCTCATCACAGATCACCAGGAAGCCGGCAGCACGCGCGGCTGGCCTCGCGCGCTGGAGCATCTGGGGGGGGTCACGCACCGGATGCGCAATGCGGAAGCCCAGCCTGCACTTCCGCAAGAGGGCCGGGCGCTGGCAAGACACATCCGGACACATGCGCATGCAAATGTATGTTGCGCCCATCGTGCTTAAGGACAACATCCCAGAAATAATTTCGAGCACCCGGAAAAGTGTCGACTAAAGTGTCGAAACAGTGTCGAAACTGGGCGCAACACGTGAAAACCCTCGAGTTTCGGTACTCTTTTCCGCTCGAAATTCTTTCTGGTGATCAAAGCTAAAGTCGGTTGAAACATCATGAATCCAGATCTCATTTCGCGTTTCGGTCGCCCCGTTCGCTCACCGCTGGTGCAGCTCTTCTGCCTCGCCTCCGACGGAAATAGGCGAGCGCGTTCCACGACTCGCAGAGTAACTGCTCGCCAATGGCCTGGATACGCCGCGGGGGATCTACGAGAAATCACATCGAAGTAGACATGTGTTTTTCGGACGTTTGCGAGCAGGCACTTTGCGAGTAGTGGAACGCGCTGGGTGAGGAAAAAGTGCATCCGGGTCTCGCCAAGGCTGGCCACACCAAATATCCTGCTTCCTGGTATGGGCCGGGGCTCCCTGGGCCACGCTCTCCTGTAGAGAGCAATGGCTCCGCGCTCCCGGGCTTGCAGGAAGGCCGAGGCGGGCCGCGAAGAGGCCTCCAGGATGGCCCAAGGCGGAACCAAGACGGCTCCAGGCGGGACGCACAAGGGCATCCTGGTGCTACGCGTCCTCCTTGGAGGCGTGCGTCCGATGTATCGTCTTGGGGGCGACGCACGCATGGTATTAGTTTAGTGTGTCGGGGTGGCGCCGAGGAGGGCCCCAAGTAGGGCCCGAAGAAGCCAAAATCACTGAAGGGTTGGGATTATGTTGCCCCCATCGTACTTCAGGACAACATACCAGAAATAATTGCGGGTACCCAGAAAAGTATCGCAAATGTATCGAAAGAGTATCGCCTCCCAGGGCCCGACACGGGAAAACCTTCAAGTTTCGGTATTTTCTTGGTGCTCGAAGAGTCTTTCTGGCGATCAAGGCTAAGAGTAGGTTGGAACACCTCCTCCTCCTCCTCCTCCTCCTCCTCCTCCTCCTCCTCGGCTCCATCTCCTCCTCCTCCTCCTCCTCCTCCTCCTCCTCGGCTCCTCTTCCTCCTCCTCCTCCTCCCCCTCCTCCTCCTCCTCCTCCTCCTCCTCCTCCTCGGCTCCTCTTCCTCCCCCTCCTCCTCCTCCTCCTCCTCCTCCTCCTCCTCCTCCTCCTTCTCCTCCTCCTCGGAGGAGGAGGAGGAGGAAGACGACGACGAAGGGAGGTCAACCTCGCCAGGTGGAGCGAGCCCGCGGACCTGGCCCATTCCCACCCACCCCATGCAGCAACGGAGGGATCCATGGAATGGGGGCCTGGGACGCACGAGTAAACAGGCACGAGTCCCAGGATTCCCTTATTTTCCAGTATTTTCTGGGTTTTCGTCTTCCCCCCCCACGCTTCTCATATTTTCCCATACTTTCCCGGGGATCGACGATCGTTGTCTGTTTTTCTTTTCTCCCCCCTGCTGATCCATTACGGCACAACTTGGCATCAAGACTGGAAAGCGCTCCCACCTAGCAAACGGAAAGAGCTCGCGCGCGGTCCCGCTCCCGACGACTTGGCAAGGGGGGGTGCAAAGCGCGGGCCGCGCACGGGCGGGAGCGGAACTTCGGGAGAAAATACCTGCCTGGCACTGCAGCGAGAGCACAGCTTAGCCCTCTCGGGCTGGCCAGATGTTCGATGAGCGCGGCGAAAAAGCGAGCCATGCGCCGCGCCTAGAGAACACGGCCACCTTCACGCACGCGCACACACACACACACACACGCACACACACACACACGCGCGCGCACACACACACCGGTACACACACACACACACACACACACACACACACACGCGCGCGCAGACAAACTGCGCGGCGAGCGAGGACAACGTTTCGCGCGCTCTCGCGCGGCCCCGCTGCCGCTGCCGCTCTCGTGCGATCCGGCGCGCGAAGGACAATGCGCCGCGCCCGAGCGGGAACGCCACTCTCATAGAAGAAGAAGAAGAAGAAGAAGAAAAGGTAGAAGAAGAAGAACAATCGCCGCAAGCATAAACTTTTGGCACTCCGCGCGGAGCGCCAAAAGCTTATATGTCCATGGTAATTTTCCTTCTTCGAGCGCGAAGAACACGTGCGCCGCGCCCGAGCGGGAGCGCCACGTTGAAGTGACCCCTGCACGGAGCAGCGACACATCGCCCGTTCGCGCACGGCCCCGCCCCCCCCCGACAACCTGGCGAGCGAGAAGCACGTCCGCCGCGCCGAAGGGCGAGCGCGCGCCACTTGCAGGCGAGACCTGCGCGGCGCGGGGGTGAGAGCGACATGTGCACCCTCTTGCGCGTCGACGACTTGTCGAGAAACATGAGGAGGAGGAGGAGGAGGAGGAGGAGGAGGAGGAGGAGGAGGAGGAGGAGGAGGACGCGCAGTGCCCGTGCGGGCGCTCAAGTCTCGGGAAGGAGCGAGCGCGGCGCCGGGGCGAGAACGACATTCTCGCCCCTTCGCACGGGACGTGTGCGCCCCGTCCCCCTTTCCCGCCGGGCATTCTGCAGCGTCGACGCCGAACCATCCACGCTGGGGAAGAAAAAGGTGGATGCGGTCTTGCATGGCCTGACGGGTGGGACCCGACCTCTCGGATGGGGGGCTATCTGCCGGCTAGTGGGCTGGTAGGAGTGCATACTGATAGGAAGGAGAGGGGGGGGAGGGAGGGGGTTGAGGATAGCGCTACATCAGGGAAGACCTCAGAGGCAACGAGGAGAGGCGGGGGAGGGACTGGGAGGGAGGGGGGGGGACGGAAAGGAGGAGAAGGAGGAAGAGGAGGAATAGGGAGGGAGGGGCAAGGAGAGGGGAGGAAAGGGAAGGGAAGCCACCACCGGCCCGACTCCTGCGGCTTCGTGTCGCGCAGGATGTCCGCGCAGGTGGCGAACACTGTGTCCTGGCTGGGCGCCAGGCCCAAAGAGGGGAGGGGGAGGAGGATAGGAGAAGGAGTACAGGAGGACGAGGAGGAGAGGAGGAGGAGAACGAGGAGGTGAAGGACGACGACGAGGCGAAGGAGGAGGACAATGGGGGTGGAGGAGGGAGGAGGAGGAGGAGGAGGAGGACAAGGTGGAGAAGGCGGACAAGGAGGAGAAGGAGAACCAGAGTAAACATGAGCAAACCCAGGATGCATCAGCGATGCTGGAAAACACCCTCCCGTCCCAAGTCCCCTCATTATAAGTCCCTACGAGCCTCACTCCTAGAAGTGGCCCCTTGATAGATGAGCAAACCATGGGCGCATAGCGGGATCACCGTTTTGAAAACGGACCGCCCCCCAACCGTTTGTTTGGTTGTGCAAAACTACACGTATGGTCATGAATTCCGAAGAACTGTCAGGCGAGAACCCCATGTTGAAGACTCCTCCCACCCGTGCAGCTGATGAACGTGCCGAAGCATCTGATCCTCAAACATCCTCAAACACAGGGAATCTCAAGCTAGCGCCATGTTGAAAAAGGAAGCGCCCTCTCTCCTGGTATCCGCTGCGCATAGTAATGAGACGAGTGTGCGCGGCGCCCACGCACATTTGCAAGACGAGCGTGCGCGGCGCTCATGCGAGATCCCCTTCTTCAAACTTTTGGGAAAGAGCCGCAGTTGCAAGCTTTGAAAACGAATGTGCGCGGCGCTCAGACGTAAAGCCATGATTTGGCAAACCACTTGTGAGACCTCCGCGTGGCTGCGGTTCACCTTCGAAACAAACAAACTTGCGCCGCGCTGCGGCGACGGCCCCGTGCTGAAAACCACTCGTGCTCCGTCTCCTCGTGGCTGCTGCAAGCTTTTGAAAGGCGAGTGGGCGCGGCGCCGGCGCGAGGGCCCCGCTTTGAAAACCACCCGTGTCGCATCTATGTAGCATTAGGTCGGGCCTGTCCCCCTACAGGCGATCTTGGACCAAAAAATGAATAATAGTCGAAAGATACTCCAGAATGGTCAAAATAG